ACAATACAGAAAAAGTTTAGAAATTCAGAAATGCATAATATATATATACATATATATATAGTATTGTATACATAATATTTTATCTTTTAATATGATAAATACATATAATTTCTTTTTTAAAGTTAAAATATGACCAAATACTTAATCCAAATTTTACAGTGAGGTACTGTAAATGCCCCACAAAAAAAGAAAGAAATCTGACTTCTCTGGTACAAAGGGAGGGTCAAAAAATTTTACGTGGATTTTGCAGATTGTGGTGTCGCTGCATCCCTAACACGCTATGGAAGGAATAACTGTATGTAGTAAAGTGATAGCCACGAAGGGGTACTTTGTTCTGTAAGGTTACAGAGATGACGAATGGGACAGTGGAGTGAGAAAGAAGTAGACTAACACATATTTCATCACGGTTCATAGTCCCTAACTGGGGTGGGTAGGAGAGGAGGAAAGGGAAAGAGGTACAGTGAAGTGATTGGGGGGGAGAGAACATTGGAAAGGAGGTAGCTGTAGAGAAGGGAGTGGGGTGGGGGCTTTCCTGAAATAGTGTTTTGGGAGAGGCATTCACCAATCAGGAAAGTAGGGATAGAGGGGTCGCAGTGGAAGGGCTTCATATCTGGTATAGAGTAGTTCATACTACAGTTATAGTCATGCCACGGGTTTTTTTTTTCCTAATGCAGGCTCTAAAAAGAAGTTCCCTCCAAATGCAAAAAACAAACAGGGGAAGAAAAAAACCCTAGCCAGGAACTGTTTCTAAAAGTCAGCCTGAAATTTCCGCTTTCCTGGCTCCCACAGAGCATCATGTAGCCCTAGGACACTCTGCCAACATTAGGGATAGTCTACTGTTGATCATAGGATTGATACTTATATGGGGCAAAGTGGAATAAAGGGAGGACTCTGGGGGCTAGAGGAAGGCCACAGAATTTTGAAGGGGTGAATAATTTCATCCAGCAGTATACACTCCCTGTCTGCTTTGCTTTTGAGTGTAGTGGTGTTTATATGGAAAGAAAAGGAGGAGAGAGCTTTCTTGGGCTGCTTTCTAGAGTGCTGATGTTGTTTCTTCTGAGTAATCGTACGAACCTAGAAAACACTCTCTCTGTATATTCCTTAAACCATAGCCACGTTCTTCCCAATTTTCCATTTCTTTATATAGAAGGATTTGGCAAAAGATGGGCGCAAAATTGGAACCTGTTTTTTGTGAAGTCCCTTTGTTCTGACAGTGGTTTTAGAACATTAACTGAGCTGTAGGTTGGATTATTGTGTTATTTATATTAATACCTTTTTCACTTTTCTTCTTGGCCTGAAGGAAAAATATCTCATTATGATTCATTAAACTGAATCATCGGATTATGGACTATTATACAGCTAGTAAGAACCTTGAAGATGATCTAATACAAACCTCTCTCTCTCTCTCTCTCTCTCTCTCTCTCTCTCTCTCTCTCTCTCTCTCTCTCTCTTCTCTCTCTCTCTCTCTTTTATCTGAGGAGGAATTTCCTCTGAGAGAGAAAGTCATTTTTCCATGATAGGAGGCCTAGGATTAGATCCCCACATATGCTGGGTACTAACCCAGTGCTGTTACTAGAAGCTTCACAGGATTATACAAATTGAGTTTATTATTTTGCCATGCCAAGCACTAAGTCAAGACAGCATGGTTACTCTGTTTAGTCATTTTTTCAATTATGTCTGGCTCTCTGTGACGCCATTTAGGGTTTTCCTGGCAAAGACACTGGAGTGTTTGTCATTTCCTTCTCCAGCTCATTTTACAGATGAGGAAACTGAGGCAAACAGGGTTAAGTGACTTGCCCAGGCTCACACAGTTTGAGCCTGAAGCCAGATTTGAACTCGAGTCTTCCTACCTCCAGCCCCAGCACTGCACTGTACCACCTAGCTGTCCCCAAGACAACATGGTATGGTACATAAATGTAGGCGTCAGCCTTAGTAGTCAGAAAGAAAGGAATTCAAAGCCATTCCTCGGATACATACTGGCTGCGTGGCCGTGGGCAGGTCACTTAATCACTTAATTCCCTGAGTCAATGTACTAAGAGTATGAGTAACATATGAATTTCTACCCCGGGAATTCCCTGTATCAGGTAAATCACAGGCTCAGACCAAGGGCTACATACCTACAGAACCAAAGTGGAGTCCTTTCACATGGCGAATGTTTGTGTTAGTGTGCTTGTAATTGAGATTTAATTCACCGGTTATTTCCCACGTCTAGAATTCTTTCCCTCCTCATTTCCACCTCCTGGCTTCCTGAATTCTTTCATATCCCAGCTGAAATCCCAATTTCTGTAACAAACCTCTCCTGATCTTCCTTCATGCTAGTGCTCTTTTCTCTGTTAAATATCTCCAGTTTATCCTTTCTATATTTTGTTTGTACGTTGAGGCAGCTAGGTGGTACCATGGATAGAGTGCTAGGCCTGGAGTCAGAAGATCTGAGTTCAAATCCAGCTTCAGACACTTACTAGCTGGGTGACCCTGGGCAAGCCACTTAACCTCTGTCTGCCTCAGTTTCCTCATCTGTAAAAAGGGAATAAAAGTAGCACCTACCTCCTAGGGTTGTTATGAGGATCAAATGAGATGATACCTGCTTAGTATAGTGCCAGGCACATTGCAAGAGCCATATAAATGTTAGATATCATTTGTATTAGCTATTAGTTGTTTGCATATTGCCTCCTTCATTAGACTGCAAGCCCCTTGAGAACAAGGACTGTCTTTTGCCTTTCTTTGTATCTTCAGCTCTTAGCACAGTGACTGAGACATAGGAGGTGCTAAATAAATGTTTACTGATTGACAGTTTGATGTACAGAAAAGAAATATGTCTGTGGATACATGTAAATACATATATATATATACATATATATGTGTATATATATGTGTGTGTATATATATATATATATATATATATATATATATATATATATATATCTGTGTATAAAAATCTATAGACACATAGGAGTAAAGGAAAATGGGAGAGTGAAGAGATTGTATCTATGCCTGTAACTGGTCATTTAGCCCAAGTTTTTGCCCAGGTCTTTTGGTGGGTAAGAGTTAAGAGAAATCTGAGAAGTTTTTTTTTTCTATGTATTCTATTGGGGGAAAACAATGGATCTGTGGTAAGTGGTTTTGTATTCATACATATAGTTCAGTGTGTAGTATTTTAAATCAGCCTGGTATTGCTGTCCACATTTTTGAAAGTGTGCCAATCACCAATTGCCCATTATGGAAGGACATTTTCTAATTGTTATGAACAGAAGCCTGAAAATGATAGATTCTGAAACAATCAAAACTGAATGCAATGAAAATTATAATGACCACACTGGACCTTAAAAAAAGAGATATTAGAAAATACTTTTTTTTACTTCTTGGCAGAGGCAAGGGACTGTATCTTATGTTGAACTTTTTCTGCATGTTAATAAGTTCTGCCAAACTTTTCATCTTTTTTCAAAAATTCTTTCTTTTGAGGGATTGCTTTCTGGAGGAAAGAGAAGGGAGAAGTACAGTGAGGAATGTGTGGATGTGGATGTGCTGATGTATGTATGTAGATACAGATGTATGAAGAAAAGGGGAAAATAACACTGGGAAATGTAGGCATATGTATTTATGTGCGTGTGTTTGTGTGTATAAACTCATCATTAACTCAAGTTTTTGCCCAGATCTTTTGGTGTTAAGAGTTAAGAGAAAACTTAGAAGGTTTACTCATGAACTCTGTTAAAAAAAAATGGATCTATGCTATACTGGATTTCCTATACAGAATATACATACATACACACACATGCAGAGGAGGCAACTAGGTGGTTCAAGTGGATAGAGCCCAGCCTGGAGTCAGAAAGACCTGAGTTCAAATGAGGCCTCAGACATTTACTAGCTGTGTTGACCCTGGACAAGTCACTTAACCTGTGTTTGTCTTAATCCACTGGTAAAGGAAAACCACTCCAGTATTCTTCCCAAAAAAACCCTGTGGACAGTAGGGTCATGAAGAGTCAGAGACAACTGAACAACAACAGTATATATAGAAATACATATACATATATACACATATACATACAGATATACACATATATGTAGGTTTATAATAAAAGATACCGATGATTATTTAATTAAAACACATGTAAAAGAAAATTATAAATGATATGTGTTTGTCACTGGGGAATGGCTAAGCAATCTGTGGCACATTAATGTAATAGAATATCATTTTAGCATAATAAATGATGATTAAAAATACAAAGAAACATAAAAAGACTTATATGAACTGATCCATAATAGAGCAGAACCAAAAAAAAGCAATGTATACTCTATAACAATAAGAATTCAACAATTCAAACTGACTCGTGAAATTGTAATGACCCCGCTTAGCCCTAAAGAAGATGTAAGAAGGCATCTCTCTTACAGAGGCAGAGAACTGTGGGTATGAAACACTGCAGGTGATGTCATCCTTTTTAGATATGTTGGTTACTTTTCCTGAACTTATATTTTTTAAAAATATATTTTTCATTCTTCATTATAAGGGATGCTGTCTGGGAAAGGGAAGCTGTATTGGGAAATGTTGGTGATAGAAAAATGTAAAATGGCAATAAAAATGTATTTTTAAAAGAAAATGTTATTACTAGCTATAATATTCATATGTCCTAGTCATCTCTGTTAACTTTAAAGCCAATGATTTCTAGGAGCTCTGTATATTTCTTCCAGTGTAGTTCAGCATAATTAGGAAAGAAACAAACTCAAATCTGGTTATTGTATCAGTCATAAGGGATGAAAGGAAAAGATTGACGTCTGCTTTTGGCTAAGAGATTTAAGATAGTATGTTTGAATGCATGATGTTAAAATAATGCTGGTAAGCCATAGTGTATCGACTTTTCTCATAAAAATCTCAACTACTCTTCATCCCACAAAACAAATGTCCCCAGTGGTCATCTTTTGATCTGATAATGGAAATGCTATGCCTGACATTGCTATTCCATTAAATATTCAAGAACTATGTCTCTCTCTTCTTCTCACTTCTTTAGCCCTGGAATGAGACCAGATGTGAGCTCTTCTCCATCCAGTTCCTCCACAACAGCGGGACCACCCCCCAAACTCTGCCTTGTTTGCTCTGATGAGGCTTCAGGATGTCATTACGGTGTCCTAACGTGTGGAAGCTGTAAAGTGTTCTTCAAAAGAGCAGTGGAAGGTAGTATGTGTTTTGAAGAGTTTTTTTGGTTTATTTCTCATTCTTATAAATAGCAGCTTGAAAATAATAGGTTATCACTGGCTATGATACTTGGAGGACCAGGTCTTCTCCATTAGCTTCATGGCCAGTGATTTCTGAGAGTGATGCATTTCTTCTGTCCCAATTTGGTAGAAACCAGTAAATAAATTAACTCTGATCAATGTGGTGTTTGGGTTTTTTTAAATTAGTAACTAATGTGTGGCTCTGTGTAAATATGGGAAGGCCCAGAAGTCACCCCTTGGAAGGGAAAGTTGAAGAGAAGATGGAGGGGGAAAGAATCAGTTGGTTATCAAGCATTTATTAAAAACCTATGTGTGGGGGCAGCTAGGTAGTACAGTGGATAGAACTCCAGCGTTGGAGTCAGGAGGACCTGAGGTCAAATCCAGCCTCAGACACGTGATACTTACTAGCTGTGTGACCCTTGGGCAAGTCACTTAACCCCTATTGCCTCACCAAAAAGCAAAACAAAAAACAAAAAACCAAACAAAAACCCTTTGTGTGGGGAAATAAAATGTTGGAGGGGATATTGAAAAATTGGATAATTAGGGGAAAGGGAAAAGAACTTATATGTTCTAAAATGTTTATAGCAGCTCTCTTTATGGTGACAAAGGACTAGAAATTGTGGGAATGTCTGTCAATTAGGGAATAGCTGAACAAGTTGAGGTATATGATTGTGATGGAATATTACTGTACTGTAAGGAATGATGAGCTCAATGATCTTAGAAAAACATGGAAAGATTTGCACGAAATAACGAAGAGTGAAGTGAGCAGAACCAAGAGAACATTGTATACAGTAACAGCAATATTGTTTCAAGAATGACTTTGAGCAAATAAATTATTCTATTATAAACACCCAAATTGACCATAAAGGACATATGAAGAAAGATGCTATTTGCATCCAGAGAAAGAACTGATAAACAGAAGTTTGTATAGAATAATTTTATATATGTATACCTATTTGTGTCTAATGATGGACAGCTCTAGGGCAGAGGAGGGGAGAAAAGGGGAAAAAAAAGAAATTTACATAACTATTGTATATTTAAAAGGAATTGCAGGTTGTACATAGTAGATTTACAGTTTCATGTACAATCTTTTTTATTATACTATGTTATGGAAATGCTTGTTTTATTCCATAAATTAAAAATAAAATAAAGTTTAAAAATTATTTTTTTAAAAAACCTATGTGCCAGGCACTTAAAATAGGTATTGGGGATATGAGTACAAAGAAGGAAAGAATCCCTTCTCTGAAAAAAGCTTGCATTCTAATGGAGGAAAAAACAGTCTAAACATATGCAACATAAATATAAAGAGAATAAATCCGAATATACAAAGTAGCTAACATAAAGCAGTTTGGGAGGGAGTGCACTAATAGTTGCAGAGATGAGGAAAGGTTTTATGCCGATGTGTCTTGAAGGAAGAGGGAGGAAAAGGGTAACAAGCTTTTATTAAACACCTACTCTACACCCGGTACTACACTGAGTATCTTACTGTTATTTCATTTAATCCTCACAACAACCCGAGGAGGTAGGTACTATTATTATCCCCATTTTATAGTTGAGGAAACTGAGGCAGACAGGTTAAGTGGCTTGCCCAGAGTCACACAGTGAGTAAGTGTCTGAAGTCGGCTTTGTCTTGACTCCTGGCCTGGCACTCTATCCGTTGCACCACTTAGAGATTCCACAGTCAGTCAGTCAGTATACATTTAACACCTACTTATGTGCTGGGCACTATGCTCAGCATTGAGGATACAAGTACAAACAAAACCAAACTCAATCCCTGCCCTCAAGGAGCTTACAATCTAATGGGGAATGACAATACACAAAAAGAAGCTAGAATGTGGAGTGGGGAAAAGGTGACCAGGCGGGTGTATTGGAGAGTTCCAGAAAAGTGTGAAAGCAGGGTAGCTGGCAAGAAATGGCGAGAAAGACTGCTGAGCCCCTTCTTTTAATAGAGGCGCTGGAGCCCAAGGCCCTGCCCTCCAGTCGTAGGGTTCAGTCAGAGGAGCAGAGGGTACTGATAGCGTGTGAGTACCAGGCAGATCCAGTCTTGCAGCTTGAGATTTCCCAATGATAAGACAGAGGTAAGGAGGGAGTGTTTCAGGCATAGAGGACAGCTAGTACAAAGGCATGGAGATGGGAGACAGAGGCCAGTTTGCTTATGAGGCTGAACACAGAGGTTGGAGCCAGGCAGTGAAGTTATGTGTGTGACATTTAAAGACCTTCACGATGTGGCTTCAGCTCACGTTCTAAGCCCATTATTCGCCTTTGCTCCAGCCAGATTAGGCTACTTGCCATTCCTCATACACATTTCATCTCTCCTCTCTGTGCCTATCCACAGGCTCCTTCTCATGCCTGGAATGTGCCATTTCCCCAGCCCCACATCTTAGGATCCCTGACTTCCTCCAGAGCACAACCTCCAGGAGGCCTTTCTTGATACCTCCCATTGGCTCCTGCCTACTTCCTCCCTGCCAAAAAAATTACCTTATATTTATTTTATACATATTTTGCATTACTTATGCACGTGTAGTTTCCCCCAGGAGAACATCAGCTGAGGTCAGAGCACGTAGGCCGGTGCCTAGCAGACACAGTAGATATTTCATAGATGCTTTCTGATTGATGTGAGTAATTGGGAGGAGTGGGTGAAGGAAAGAAAATTCTCCCATTTTCTTCTTTAGGAAGGAGCAAACAAACAAAAAAAAGGATCCTACTCACTGAGAGGAAAAAATATTCCCAAGTGGAGGAAACAGTATTCCAATATAACATAATTGCAGGGAATCCATGCAGTATAATCAGATAGCAGAAGGTTTCAGCGGCAGAAAAGGTTAGGAGATCAAATTATTGTGGTACCTTTCATCAGCAATTGCTCTTGGACTCAGGGTCAAGATCACTGAGCTGATCCCCTAGAGGTTAAGGGATTTCACTATGTCATAATCCTAGGCTGTACCCTTGAGGTGGCCTATAGCCTCACATGATACACCACCACAGAGGATAGTGGGAGAAAATGTAGGCAGTTACAAACCCATTCCCCAAGTGCAGAAACAGTCAAGGAAGAAAGAGGTCCCCTTGCAGCGGGTCACTAGGAATAGCTTCACAAATAAAAGACACGTTGTTTCACATCTAGTGATGAAGAGAGGAAAATTCTTAAAATTCCATTGTTGCCTCTGAGTACTCTTGGAATAATTACATATTTTAATGGTTGTGTAAAGTAACTGGTAAACAGTATGGACTGAATGGGTGATCTAAAGCTCTGGTAATACTCATTAAAAAAAAAATAACGTCATCCATTCATTCACAGTCTTAGAAGGATTATTATTGTTTGGCCACAGTTCTGTTTGCATATTCTTGAGAGCTAGATGAGTCATCTCTCTTCCTTTGCTTAGATTTCTTTTTTAAGTATTGTAAATTACAAAATTATCCATGCAGGTCCAACCTAGACTTTGGGTTATAGACCATTCATAAGTAGCTACCTGTCTATTTTCCACTTTTGAGAAGTTAAGAAGAGGGAATATATAACAAAGGATTTATGTTGAGAAGGCACAGGAATTACTCTCCCACTACTTATATTTTAATGTTATTATTAATATTAAGATAGGAAATGGATAGAAAGCTGGTCCCGGAGTCAGAAAGACCTGGGTTCAAGCCTTGTCTCTGACAAATCCTGGTTTTATGAGCCATGGGGTGAATCACTTAACCACTAGTGCTCCAGGCATCTTTATAAGACCATCAGTTAGAGAAGAGTTATCTGTCTGTCTTGATAGATGAAGTTTTCTTGCAAGGAATTTCCCAAACCAATGAAATCACTAATTCAGACCAAGAAATTCATGCACATGTGCATGTGTGTATACATATGTGATTAATATATTCATAATTAGCCCACTACTTACTACTCATCATCATTGCTATGAATAATAGGTCCATTTTTACTGGGTTTAGTCACATGGCGTCCCACTGGGCATTGAACCTAGGGTGAGAAGCTCTGAGTTCAGATTCCTAATTGGTAATAGTAGTAGCATTGGTTATATTGTAGATATATTAATATTGATCATAATTACTATTACTAATAATGACTCATTTATATTGTATTTTAGGGTTTCCAAAGTGCCTTCTTTACAAACTTGGTGAAGTCCATAATATAGTTGCCATTACTCCCATTTTATAGATGAAGAAACAAAGGCTCAGTGACTTGCCCAGGTTAAGACCAAGTAAGTGTCAGTCAGGTCTGTAGCTCAGGTCTCTGTTTTCAAAGCCAGTGTTCATTTCACTAGCCCGTTGGTTAGGTTCCCTGCCTTAGAAAGAGCCTGTCTGGATAGCTCCTTTTCTCTTTTCATAGCTTTTTAAAACATTGGAATACGAGGTTCTGTGTGTATACACATGTATGTATTTGTACAGTTAGATTAGGTGATAAATGAGAAATGATTAAATGAAGAATATTTCTAATAAATCATTTCATTTCAGGGGAACCCATTTCCTTTTCTGTAAGTGAGGGTTTAGATAAAGCTCTCAGTCTCCTGTCTACCTTTAACCTTCTAGATCCTGTGAGATGATCTTTAATCATAAGCAGGGTTGGTTTATTTTTTGGTTTTGGTTTTTATTTGTTTTAGAGGTTCTTTTGTGGGAGGAGTGGTTCCCAAACCTTCTCCAAAAAGCCACTTTTCTATAAAAACATGTCCTTTAGTGTCAAATCTGTTCAGTGAAAGAATCATCCAGAAAGATACAAAGTAACCAAGTAAGGAAGGTCGATGAAAACTCTCATCTTGAAGGGAATGGGAATGAAAGCTGAGTCACAGACTTTTGAGGACCTACTTAGAAAAGTCCTGAGATTTAGCTTGGATGCTCATTGGGCTCTAAATGCAAACTGCTACAGGTACTTTAGGTGGTCACCCTATGTTAAAAGTGTACATGGGAAATATTGGAAAAATTGGAAATTGGAGTCCAAACTAATTTAGTAAATTTAGTCACATAGAGCCCCACATAGCTGGAACTTGGAATTTTTGTGCTCAAAACAGATATCACAAACCACACCCTCAGCTGAGGGATGCAGGGATGGACCTTTTGCTTCCCAGTTGTTTAGTATAGTAGTTTCCCATTTTGACTTACTCTTCCTATCTAGAGGCTTGGCTTTGTTCTTTCCTTGCTGCTGAAACAGCATGGAGCAGTGGATAGAGCATTGGACTTGGGGTCAGGAAGGTTCAGATTCCTCCTCAGACACTACCTGGGCAAGTCATTTAATCTCTCTAGGCCTCTGTTTTGTCACCTGTAAAGTGAAGAATGCAGTCTTGATGGCCTCTGACATCCCTTCCCATTCTAAATCTATGACCCCATAACTTCCAGTACTCTCCAAGGTAGAACCTTGGGGCAAAATCCAAGCTTGCCCCATCCTGGTTCTAGCACTGTAGTGAGGAATTTAACTACTTCTAAGTGGTGATTAACACTGATCACTGTTTATCTTATAAATGTGACCAATGCATTGAGCAGTTCCGTATTTATACAGCATAAGCATAGGCGATCTTTGGTCTCTGTTTTCTGACATGGAGAAAAAGCTATGAATTGGGCTTTGTGCCCCTTCCTTCCTGCTATTCTGTATCTCTATGCATGGCCACACGCCTCTCAACCTTTATGCTTTTACATGCCTCCTGCCTTCATTCATCCTATTTCCTCTGCCTAGGAAGCTAATGTAAGATATCCTAAAGGCAGATTAGTGTCTGAAGTCATCCTTTATGGTGGTTATTTTGAGAAAGAGAGAGACAGACAGACAGAGAGATTAGATGGCAAGGTGGAAGTCTGCCCTGAGAATTAAGGAAGACCTTCAGGCATAGAATCATAAATTTAGAGCTGGAAAAGACCTTAGAGACCATTGATTCCAAAACCTTTGATTTAGAGATGAGGAAACTGAAGCCCAGAGATTTTTTAATTTTAATTTAAAAAATTTTAATTAAAAATCCGTTTTCTCTCTCCTCTGACTTCCCCTGGGGGGAAAAAAAGAAATAAAGAAAACCTTTGTAACAAATATTGGCCATGTCCAAAAAATACATATCTCATTCTGTACCTTGAGTCTGTCATCCTCAGGAAAATGGTAGAATGCTTCATCAGTCTTCAGGAATCATGGTTGATTATTGGGTGATCAGAATTCTTAAGTTTTTAAAAGTTGGTTGATTTTACAGTGTTGTTGTTATTGTTTAAGTTGTGTTCCCCTGGTTCTGTTCACTTCAGTCTGTATCAATTTATACAAGTCTTTCTAGGTTTCTCTGAAACTATACATTTCCACATTCCTTATAGCACGGGTATTCCATTACATTCATATATAACTTGTTCAGCTGTTCACCAATTGGTGGGCACTCCTTTAGCTTTCATATCTTTGTTACTGAAAAAAAAAGGCTGCTATAAACATTTTTGTAATTATTGATCCTTTTCCTCTTTCTTTGGGTTACAACCCTAGTAGTCATATTGCTAGATCATGTACAGTTAGTAACTTTTGGTGTATAGTAACAAATCACTTTCCTGAGTGGCCGGACTGGTTCATAACTCTACCTGGACAATGCTGTAATGGTGTGGGAGGAAGAAAGGATGTGGGCCTAGTAACTTGCTTGCCTTACAGTACAGAGTCCCTCTGCAATCCTCTTCTGGATGCTTTCGATAGCATGGGCTCTCCTACTGTAATGGTACTTTTGGCAGAGTGTAACTCCCAATGAGGTCAGACAGCTTTCCTCCTTCCCACCCCCAGTAGTTCCCCCAACTCCGGCCAAAGGATTCCAGCTGGCTACGGCTGGGTCAGGGAAAAATCGACAAGACATTTTTTCCTCTTTGACTTGCCTTTGTTTGTTTGCTTCCTGTGGCTCAGCCTGGGGCATGTGGCTCTAAAGCTTTGGTTGGTATGGGCAATAAGGGGAAAAAGTGAAAATTTTAAAAGGATACTCCTTAAGCTCCATTACCAGATCTTCACAGCAAAATGCAGGGCTAGGAGAGAAATTTAGCTAGTCACTTTTCTCAACAATTCTTGGATTGCTTCATCGGCCCACATCTATCAGAGGTATTTGTATGGGAGTGCCAGACAAAAATCCTGGGGGTTGATACTTTGACAGTTGATGGTAAATTGATCAGTTAATATCCCGAAGGGTTTGCAACGGTGAGCACATTTATAAGGTGCATACAGTGGTTCATGAGATCAAGTCTCTGATTGACCCATCATTGCCATCAGCCTCAAAGCATAAGACTAAATATCCTTTTTTCCCCTCTGGTACTATATTTAAAGATAGAAATAGAAGTATCTGTTTTGTCTATACAATATTGAACTAAAATTTCAACTTACCATTGGAGAGTTTCACATTATAGTGAAACCAGGTTGTAAGACCACATCATTTACAAGTGAAACTTGAACAGCTCACTTGACTTCCCTGGGCGTCATTTTCTTCACGTCTAAAAGGAAGGAGTTAAACTAGATGGCCTCTAAGGGTCCCTTCTAGCTCTAAATCTATAACTATTATATCTAAATTCTATTATCTTATTATAGTAATCTAGAGCAATTTTAGTTTCTGGAAGTTTTTTTTTTTAAGGATATTGGACTTTTAATGAGGTCAATTAAAGGCAGAAGATATCACTTTTTTCTTTTTCTTTTTTCTTCTTTTTCTTTTTTTTAATTGTTAAAAGTTTAACATCAAGTCTTCCCAAATCACCCCGGCAAAATTCAAGTACTATATTGTGCTAAATTTAAATATACCAAATTCCCTCTCCCTACTCCCCCTGCAAAAAAAGAAAAACCAGCAAAACACAGAGAGAAATTTAGATGCTATCCACAAAAATAAGAAGTATTTTAATATTCTTTTTTCTTTCTTTCCTTCTATAGGGCAGCACAATTATCTTTGTGCTGGAAGAAATGATTGTATCATTGATAAAATTCGAAGAAAAAACTGCCCAGCATGTCGTTACCGAAAATGTCTCCAAGCTGGAATGAACCTAGAAGGTAATTTAAAAGACTTGAGTAGATTGTTTGCCTCTGAATCACAGAAAAATGCATCCGTTTGCTTTGTAAGATGTGAGTAATCAGGTGTAGTGTCTTGCTATCTTCAAAATAGTTGAGTCATTATAGGGCGTTCTTGACCATAATATGCATACTATTGCCTGGCAGAAGTACAGATTTTTCTCTTCTTTCTCATTGTGGGTCCTATTCTGCCTGTTTAACAGACCTGCGCACTACCACAGTTTTATCTACATGTTCTCCTTGTACAAAGGGCACACTCTTTGCATTCACTGTAGCCGGACTGGAAGATGGGAAGGGAAATTATGCCATATGGGTGTTATAGAAGAAAACAAGGCATCCTCTTTGTCCCTTTTGTGCCTCTGTAAAGCTTTTGAATGGAAACACTCTTCTATCAAACATGCATTTGTCATTTTCTTTGTCATGGCCTTTTTAAGAATTCTAGTTCCTAAATGGTCCCTTTATTGGGGGAACGTATAGTCGTTTTACCTCACAAGTCAGGGTGGTTGATGAAGTGAGTACTGGTGTGGAGATAGCTTGGCACAATGGAAAGAGAATTGGCTTTGGAGTCAGAGGACCTGGGGTTTGATTCCCATTGGTCATATTTCATATAGAGTCTGGGAAAAGTCCCTGGGTCTCATTTTCCTTGTCAGTAAAATGAAAGTATTGTTCTAGATGGTCCCTGTTCCCTATCTTTTCCATTTCTATGAGTTTTGTTGCTCTCATCTTCTTATAATAAAAAGCCTCTAAAGTGAAAGATAATGCAGCTTTATTTTTCAGAACATTGTAATGTATTATACAGAAAGTAGCATTTTTTTCATTTTGGGAGTGTTGGAGATGCAGCTCGGCTTGAGGTTGGAGGTTCCTCAAAGACATGATTTGTAGATGTTAAATTAAGAGCTTTGCTTCTCAAAAGTTTGCTTGCCCTAGAGTGAACAGAAGTCTGAGGGGAGAAGCGACTTGACCAACACTGACCAATCACCCCAAGTACAGAGTATGGTGGGAAGGCACTGAGGAACATCCAGAGGATTACTAGAGTTGTAGACTAGACGGGCTGGGACTGAAATGTCTGTCGTTTTGTGGATCATGACTGCTTGCCACTGTTCTGTTAAATTTTGGTAAAGGGATAGTATCTGACTGCCATGAAAGATGTATCATGTTTTGACCCAAAGGGGAAAATTTTTAAACAAAAACGATGCCCCTCCTGTCTGGAATACACTGTCTCCTGGCTTCTGCCTCTTAGTATCCTTTATTTCCTTCAAAGCTCAGCTCAATACCACTAAGGCCTTTCCTGATCCCCCAGTGCTAGTGCCCTCTATTTCTCACCTCCCAAAAAAACTGAACTGTATTTTTAATATACCTTTTTATGTACTTACATCTACACATATTGGCTCCCTGATAAAATGCAAGCTCCTTGAGAGTAGGGACTGTTTAATTTTTGTTCTTATATCCCCAACAATTAGCACAGTGCCTAGAATATAGTAGGTGATCGGTAAGCTTGTTAATTGAGTAAGTAGGAATAATTCTGTACTTACATTTAAAGAGATTGTAAAGCTATTTAGTTAAGAAGTACAATACATTCTGACATTTTTCAGTGAATAGGCTTAGCCCAAATAGGCCAAGAAGAGAGAGATAAAGAAGAAAAAGAGGGAGGGTGGGACAGAGAGAAGGAGGGAGAGGGAAGAGAGAGAAGGAAGGAGGAGGAAGAGAGAAAGAAGGGACATACAGAGGGAGGGTGGGAGGGAAGGAAGGAAAGGGGAGAGAGAGAAGGAGGGAGAAGAAAGAGGAGTCAAAGAGAGAGAAGGGAGGGAGAGAAGAGGGTAAGAAGGGATAGAGAAGGAGGAAAGAGAAGAGAAAGAAAGAGAGAAGAGGGAAGAAGAGAGAGAGAGAGGAGAGGAGGGAGGAGGAGAGGAGGGAGGAAAGAGAGATTTAAAGGTTCATTATCCCCAGGAGAGTCTCTCATATCCAGAATTTGTTGAACATACTGTGTTGATACTTCCTACCAACTGAATGACCTTTATTGAACTTATTTGGTAAAACATTTCAAAGAGGAAAAAAAAATTACCCTGGAAAATAGCCTCTGTCCTCCACTAATATCATTTAGGCGGTGATCTAATTAAAAGGAGCCCTGCTTTCAAAACGATGTCAGTAATACCCAGAAGGGTGTGACTCCATATTGTACAACTGACATAGAAAGCATGTAGTTGATACTTCCCTCCCCACCCTCCCCCAGACAAGGTAGTATACTGCAAGAATTTTTCTCCTGGGGAAAAATGTTTAGCATTAGCAGATTCTAATTGTGTATTTAAAGTAAATAACAAATAATATCAGCAGAACAATACAGCTGATTTGGTGTTCTCTTTGGGAGTTTGGTTTCCCTTTGTTAAAAGTAGGTTGATGGAGTGTGACTTGTGGGCAGAAGCTCTTCCACAAACCACATCTGTCTTCCTGCTTTATGGAAGCACCTCAGATTATTTGAGCCAAGCAAGTTTTCAGTCAACCTCTTAGTCACTCCAGCCCTGTATTCAGAGCCAATAGGGCAGAGTGCTGGCCTTGGAGCCAGGGACCTGAATTCAGATCCCACCTCTGACACAGACTAGCCAAGTGACTGTGGGCAAGTCGTTTAATCTCTCAGTTCCTGGAGGCAAATCTTTAAGAAGATAAAATTTAAAGTAGTTGCATATCTGTATCCTTGAATGGAGTTCCCACCCTAAGAGTCCCCAACATTAAATGGGCTTGACATTAAAGAGCTTGACAACAAAAAATTGTGGCTGATTTTGTTTTGAAGTTATTCAAGTGGAAAGATAGCTGCCCACCTAACGTAACTGTTCAGAAAACTAGGCAGGTCAATTAACAAATTAAACTGGGGAGGGGACTTCTTGATCCACAGGAGACCTTTTTGATTTTGGAAATATTGATAGATATTGCTAACTTACTGTGCTTGGCATGTGCTAGGTCTCCTGCTAAGGTAGGTGTGTTCTTTAAATAAATTCAACAAGTATTTATCTGTAATTATAGCATAATGACTTAAATTTGCAATACATATGTTAGCTCATTTGATTCTTACAATACCCCTGTGAGATATGTGGTATTATTATCCCCATTTTACAAATGAGGAACTGAGGCCAAGAGAGATTAAATGACTTACTTGCCGAGGGTCAGGTCATACAGCTGGCAAGTTTCTGAGACAGGGTTTGAACTCGGGGCTACCTGACTGCACATTAACTTCATCCACTAGGCCATCTAGCTCCTTCATTAAGCACCTATGTGCTAGACTACACATATAAAAATAAAACAGACATTTCAAACTGGAAATCCACCAGACTTTCCTCAAGGAATTTATATTCTCTTGTCAGTCTTTGCTAGTCAGTCTTTATGTTAACAATTGTGTGATGGGGCAACAGTTATGTGATAGAGGGAGTTAATTTTTAACACAATATCTGTACTATGTCCAAATAGGGATGAGGAGGTTTCATAAGGAAGGTCTTCAGTATTTTGTCATAAATGGGTTTTATCTGTATACCTCTTTGTTCCTGTCACAGTGGCATTGTCCTCATACCTGAAATGTTTCATCCTGGCCTTTCTACTTTAACTTGGATAATCACTTTTATTCTCAACGAGCTTCCAGACAAACCCTGCCCAAAATGATTAATTCACTACTATGATTTCACATTAGGAAATTCTGATGGCTACTACTGAATTAATTCTTATCCTACATAAACAAATCATTTTCAAAAGAACCTAAAATCAGTAGTATTTGTATGGGACATTCCTTTGTAGAAAGAGACATTGTCCAAAGTTGAAGGAAATTTTAGTTCTAGCTCATGTTTATATAGTACATTAAAGACTTATGGGGCAGGTAGGTGGCACAGTGGATAGAGCACCGACCCTGAAGTCAGGAGGACCTGAGTTCAAATCCGGCCTCAGACCAAACACTTCACGCTTACTAGCTGTGTGACCCTGGTCAAGTCACTTAACCCCAATTGCCTTAAAAAAAAAAAGATTTACAAAGGCATTTTTCCTTGAAAGAATGATGAGTTTTCCAAATACCCACCAGCATCTACAGGAGTAGCTAATATGTTTCTCATATTTTTGCAAATATCGGTTTCAGTTTTTAGAGAAAGATGGCATATTAACATCCCCTCTTGATAGATGAGGGAACAGAGACTATAAAAGGTTAACCTACTTGTCCAAAACCATGTTGCTAATAAGTATGCTAGCCAGACTTCAAAGTATGTCTTCGGATTTTGGGTCTTGTGACCTTAAATATGTTACTCTATCTAAGGCAGAGTTTCCCAGCCTTTTTAGTCCCAATGTCCTCAAGTTAGGAGGGACCCTTGCCCTAAGGTAAGGAGAGAACATGAAGAGGTTCTTTGTGTAAAAAATTGTCTCCCTACTTTGAAGACTTAAAACTATATCCTTTTCAGACCTTGGGGATTTTGCTGATGGAAAGGGGGCAAAGACAAAGACAAATGTGAGATTTGTATATGAAAAACAGTCGTAAAGCATCCCACAGAAACAATGTGCTCGTCCAGAGCAAGGCCTCCCTCAGCGCCTTGTTTCCTAGCAGCTCTTTTGTATATGACCAATGGAAAACTTTAGAGTTTATAACCAGGCAACTCTGAACCCCAGAACTGTTTTGTGATTATTAAACAAATGTTCATTGCTTGCTTATTACGGCTTAGCTAGCATAGATGAAGATTTGGTCATCCAAAATGAGGCCTTCCAATGAGCCTTGAACCAGAAAAAGTAGGTCTAATAAAGGACCTCAGACAATGGTGAGAGAGAAGCTATGTGTTTCTGTACTGCTGCATGCCACTTCAGAGAGAAGATATTCTTTTCTGTAGTTCTCGCTACCTGCAGCCTGGGATGGAGGAATCCCTTAGGGTCCAACCACACAAGCAGAACTGGAGAAACTTCTGCAAATCCCAGCCTGCATCATTTACCCTTACAGAAGAAAAATGGCATAACCCAACAGCAAAGCA